GGCAGCTGTTGATTATGATAATAAAAAATAATGATGAAAACTGCATGAATATTTGTACAGTAATAAAGACTGGCTGCTTTTGGCTGTCGCCACTCAGACACCTTGCAGTGTATAGCTGAGATGCTCCGCATCACCAAGCAGGCCCTGGGCTTTGACGTCCAGGTCGTGGAGAAGAAGCTGGAGAGGTACGTCACTGGCTCCCACATGCCTGTTGAGTCTGTGGCTCCTCAGAAAAGCACTTCAGCTCCTTCCCTTTTCCATTGTGCACCTAGGAATATTTCCTAAATATTTATGGTGCTTTTCTTTTCGGAGTAACGCATGACTTTGTGTTGCTCTGAAGATTCTCTTCTTTTAAAGGCTGCTCTAACATTTGGGAAATGTCTGTGTTGTGTCACATGACAGGAATTCATGTGTTCATTGGCTTCTGAAATGTTCCTTAGGAGGCACAGTAAACCTCACGAAGGTATCGTCGGCATCGGATCCCGGAACCCGGACCAGGTCTTCGGCAGTTCCGGTCTTGCCCAAGGGAAAAACTTCCTCATGAACAAGTTCTCCTCGCTGAACCAGAAGGTGAAGCAGACGAAGTCTACCGTCAACATCGGTAACTTCAAGCCACTGGGGAAGCTGGGAAACTTCCCAAAGCCGGACGTGAAGGTTAACTTCCTGAAGCCCAACATGAAGGTCAACCTGTGGAAGTCCGACAGCAGCCTGGAGACGACAGACAGCAACCTGGGGGCAGCGGGTCTCAAGAACCATTCTGACACGTCCGACCTGGAACTCTCTGACTCCGACTCCTGCCACTCTGATGAGCAACCGCACTCCGGTTCCCTGGAGAACGTAGACTATGTGCTCCCCAGCTGTGGTATAGTGGCCTCTAGACCACGCCTGTCCAGTCGCTCCCAGTCGATCAGCAGCGTAGAACTGACTATCCCTTCTGCTATCCGAATCACCACCTGCGACGGTCAGATGGTAGAGCAGGGCGAGACTGCTGAAGACGAACAATCTCCGGAACTGGCGCTGGAAGCCGAGGAAGACATCCTGATTGACTTCGGGAGTTCCATGGATGCCTACTGCCACCAGTTTGTCCATGATGCACAGAGTAAAGTCACTAAAGCACAGGAGGAAGTGACAGGGGTTCCTCGGCAGGTCCCACAGGAACCTTTCAGCAGTAAACTTCAAGAGGAAGCAGGAGGTCAACCCAGCACGACCCAGATTTCCAGACCATCTCAGTTGGACGTCCAGTCCTCTACATCCAACACGAACCTGCTAACCATCCAAGCTCCATCGTCCACTGCATCTTGTTCCTCCCAGAAGAGCCTGGGCTCCCATGCTGAGGGGAGCACGGGGCCCTCCCCCGCTGACGGTGGAGGCAGCCGTGTGGCGTCTCCTTTCGCCAAGATCAAGAGCTCGATGGCCCAAGTGGCCAACCTGACACAGGCCGGGCTGACTCAAGGGATCAACTTTGCGGTGGCGAAGGTCCAGAAGAGCCCGGAGCCAGACAGCGTTGAAGAAACTCAGCAGAATGAGCTTAAAGCGATGTTTACACAGTGCCAGACCAGGATTATCCAGATCTAGTGGTCTCTCTCTGTCTCGTTTAGACTCCCAGTTGGGTGCGACTTAAATTCTAGTTACGTAGCAGTAGAAATAAGCTTGCACCAGTCGCACCAACGTAGCCGGTAGCTAATGACTCAGTTCTAAGATTCTTTGTTGGTTACCTGATGTTTACAGCCAGTGTGTGCAGCATATACTCTAACTAGGTGTAACGGTGTCCTCAGGCCAGCGATACCCTGTCTCTTGACTGTTGTGAATTGCTCCATTTGTGTCGCATGTCATGTTTGTAGCAGCGTAGGCAGATCAGAGCGGGGAAGTCCAATTGCATGTCAGTAGCGTTGATGTAAGAAAGCGTCGAGATCCTAAATGTACATTTATACCTACTGAGCTCCACTGGTTCACTTCTAGCACTGTTTACAGCACTGTAGATGTTTGGGGAAACCCAGAGAGACACCGTCCGTGGCCTGCACTGGGCAGAGCAGCAAGACATGCGAGGTTATGGTAATCCTTAAAAATGCACGCAGGTCACCTCCCCCCTTTTGATCTTGGGAAATGTTTGCCCTCAGATGAAAGGTTAAGAACGCGAGCTGTTCAGAGCGCCGTCATACCATTGGCTGTAGTTACCAATAAAGCCATTAAAATCAGCTCGCACTGGCTGTACTTACCGAGAAAGCCGTCATACCCGGATCCTATTGGCCATAGTTATCGAGAAAGCCGTCATATCGGCTCGTATTGGCTATACTTGGGAAGAAAACAATCATTCCTGGCTATAATTTCTGAGAAAGCCATCATGCCTGGGTCTTATTGGCTGACCTACCGAGGAAGCCGTCATATCCGGCTCCTATTGGCTATACTTGGAGAAAAAGCTGTCATACCCAGCTCCCATTGGCCGTAGGTACAGATAAAGCTGTCAAGTGCGAATCGTTCACCTGAATGACTCCTTCAGTCTTTTGTCTCAGGATTCTACTTTGTGTAAATAACAGCAGATGGTCTTGGGTTCAGTTCCAGAGCCACTGTTTTAAGCTTCAGAAATGGTACTTATGGTGAATTGCTTCTGCAATGTGTACACATTAAGTCAGAAATCTCCACTGAGAAAGTGGCATTGGTAAATCTAGAGTTTGACACTGACAAAGACATGCCAGGGTACGTTCTCGTCTGTGTGCTGTAATTAGGGATATTGGTATAGTCGGACATTCAGGCACCAAAACCCGCCATTTTAAATCACTTTTTCTGTATCGTGAGCGAGGAGGGAAAGTTACACAAGTAGCAATTGTTAGCATTGACCCGATGCCTCACCTGTTTCAAGTTCACGTCAAAGGTCATAATTGTGGTAATACAGCAGAAGCTACAACATCGTTTTATGTACCAGAATCTTAAACATAAGCCTTAACATAAATAATATTCTATGCGATTGAGATACTTGCTAAAATCCAGCCGTAGAAGTGGACATTTTTCTTCATTAGTTATATATATATATACATGGAATTAGGGTCGTCCAGGTGAGCTGACAGTTATCTCCAGTTATCTTCCATGGCATCGCAAGAAGGTCCGATTAGCAGGCCTCTTAGCAACATGGTAGCATTGCAGTGGCCTTTGCTGTCAAGTGCTAAAACTGCATCACGCCAGCATCACCTAGGATGGCTGGCTTTCAGTTGTGGTTCTACTGCATTTAGCCGCACTCTGGGTTCTTCTCTGGGGGGGCTGGGGGTGTCGGCTGGAGCCTCACATGCCTGGCTGCCATGCCGTTCGACCTCAGAAGCCAGTTAGCGCAGGCACATACCGAGACTGATACGCATGTCCCTGTTGGATGTTTTAATGTAAAGAGATTCTTCTGTTTCTCATTGTTTGTTTGCTTTGTTAAATTGCACATTTGCCGTTTTTTTACTGAATTTGTGAGGCTGTTATTTTGTTCTTGCTGTAAGATTCCGGGCTCCCTCCACTCAATATGACGTTTGGCCTGCTATGCTGATTTAGCACACAGCTACACCACGCACATAGCTGACGTTACTTAACACTGTTGCGGTTTATTTTATGCTGCATATTCTCAATCAGCATGATATATATATTTTTTTTTAATCACTTTTCCCTCCATGACCGAATCTGACATGCTCAGTTTGTTGGAATTTTGTTTATTGCATATTAGGGTAATTATTTATTCTTTTAATCACTCTACTGTGTTTTCTCTTAGACTCCAATGTTAAAGGCAACTACAAATTGGCGACGACAGTGCAAGCCTCTGTATTTTAAAATGTGAGGAATGTATATGGGGTATTTTATTAGTAAAACCAATCCTAATATTCCTCTGTGTTGCTGTGTTATTCTTTTCGCCATTTGTTACGGCTAATTATGTCTATGACGTATAATCATGTTTGTGGGTTCTGAGCATTTTATGGGTCTTAAAGTGACCTACATAAAACGCTGTTTTCCTTACAGTGACCGTTTTTAGGTGGTCATCATCATTCAGATTGGCTGTCATGTTCTTCGCTATATTTACTTCGACCTGTTATACAACCGTGTGGACGCCCTCCTGACCCCGGGCTCATTTTAGGTTCTCGTCCTGCACTTAACGTCCTCGTATTCCTCAGATGAGGTAAGTGGCCACTGCTGACTCACCCATGATCGTGAGGCCACCTGTTCCCTAGTGCCTGGTGTCCGTCTGTAACCTCAGCCTGTCCTAACCTGCGCTCAGGTTAGGCCTGGGTGCTTTTAACCGGAAGGTTGCCGGTTTGAATCCCACCCCTGGTAGAACTGCTCAGATCTTCTTTGGGCCCTTGAATGTGGCCCTTAACCCCCTGGAAGGCTCCAGATAAACAGCAGACCTTGTGCTCAGATCCCAAGCTTCTCTCGCACCTCTGCATGGGTCTCAAACCGAGAGCAAGATGTCACATGTGAAAGCTAAGCAATTCCAACGTACTTGTGCAAATGGCAAAATAGTGTCATTCCTTTCAAGTTAAATTTTTTCATTTCAGAGTGACCAGAAGAACACCCCCTTGGACATGAAGGTAGGCTGAGCAATTCGAAAGCAGTGCACATTACATTCAGCAGGTACTACAAACCCATTGCTCCAGACATTTCATATCGATTTTATATTCCAGAAACTTGTAGCATTTTTTTGGGGGAGGATGTTCGACGCAAGTGGTAAATGAAAGATGCTGTGTAGATATAGAGGCTGCATGACCCCGAACTTCACTCCTACTCGATGCCTGTGGGAACTGTGAATCAAAACACTCTAGACAGCTCTAGACAGTACAAATTTGACTTTATTCGTGTTATAAGTCAAGTTTCTAAAATATCAGTATAAATCTCCAGTGTAAATGGAAGGTTGGTCGATGGGTCCAATTCTCAGTCTGTCACATTTAATCCATTCAGTGCTTGTTTTAATGCCAGTGAGCTAAAAATGGCAGAATTCATAAAATGCAAAAAGGAATTACTGTAGAAACAAGGGAAAGTTAGTTCAAGAATTTATTAGAAAATGTTAAAGGGGAAATAATTGAAAATGTTGTCCATAACAATCTTGGCACAAACATGGAACTAAAGAAAGACATCCATGGCCAGGGCCAGTGAGATAACGAAAATCATACAAGTACCAGGAGAATTAGTGAAATAGTTTATTCGTTTCTCCAAAGTAGAAAAATGGCTGTGTAAGCTTCATTAATTAAACGGGCCAGGGTGAGCCCCACCCCCTGCTTTCCCATGATGCCTTGCTGCCTAGGGCTCATTGCTGTTGATGGTCCGTTGCGGTGTCCTGCTGGTTCTCCTGGCCTCCAGGTGCTTGGCTCGCACCCAGCGGTCCCGCGATAGCGTGCTCTGACCCGCGCTGAGGGACAGCAGCCTGGCCGAGAGGGTAGGGGTCAGAGGCTGTTTCTGTGGCCCACCCTCCTCCCCAAAGCCATCAAAACCCTGACAAAGCAGGTACTCTACGATAGGGGGCCTCTTAACATGAGAAGATCAGCTGGAACGCACCTGGCAACCACTAACGTTCTGTGAAGGTCATCTGCGGAGATGCTCTGCGGGTCCTCCTTCCGCATTTCCACAAAGTCCTCCTCCACCATCTGGGGTGTATCGCCAGAGAGGGGTTAGTGCGCATGCAGAAACACCCCCATCCCTCCCCCCAGGTGGGCCGGACCTCGCTGACCTTGGTCAGCTCCTCGGAGATGCTGTATTCCTGGTGCCGGAGCGCGGTCAGATAAATGCGGAATTTATTCAACAGGGACGGGGGCAGCGCTGCCTGCAGGGCGCCCATGTACTCCTCCATGTTGGGGGGGGCCAGCTGGGGCTGGAGGGGCATGTGGCAGTCGGACTGTGGGGTGACAAACAGACAGGTTAACCAAAGTAGGTGCCTACGTGCCATAGAGCCGCTCAGGGTTACCAGGATGACCTCGCCGGAGCGGCCCCCACGGCCCACAGGCACAGTGTCACATGTGTCACGCACGGGGCGGGCCTGTGTCCTCACCGGCAGGAGTGATTTTCCCTCTGACGCGATCAGCACATTAATATTGCAGGGGAATTCCATCTGGTGGTAGCTGAAGTCATAATCAACCTTTTGCCAGGAGATCAGGTTGCCCAGCGCAGTGATGTTCCTGACGCCTGTACCGAGGGCCGGATAGGGGAGAGTTGGTCGGTGCCTGTTGGGTCATGCCCCCCCCTCCCCACCGCCAGCACCACCTCACCCGCCGCGTCCAGCTGCCCCTGCTGCAGCTGCGTCTCGTCCAAGACGAGCAGCGTGTTGGGGGTCAGCTGCAGCATGCCGCTGCGTAGCCGGTTGGCTGTGTAGTCCTTCTGCGGTGTGAAGTGCAGGCCGTTCATGTTGCCAAGGCTCATGCAGACCCGGTGGGACTGGCGGGAAAGAAGGATGGGATTCAGGCCGGTCGTCCCGGGCAACGCGCCACTCTGCTATCAAGCGGTGCTCAGTCGGTCAGGGGGGATTCAGGCCGGTCGTCCCGGGCAACGCGCCACTCTGCTATCAAGCGGTGCTCAGTCGGTCAGGGGGGTGCTCAGTCGGTCAGGGGGTGCCCGTCGGCCTGACTCACACATGTCACGAGCTGCTGTAGCACCCCGAAGAGCTGCTCGGTGTAAGAGGAGCTGGGGGGGCAGCCGCTCAGGTTGAGGGTGAACTTCCCCAGAGGAAGGACGTCTCTCCGGGCGTAGCTGGAGGAGGAGGTGCAGACGGTCAGCGTGGCGGTACCTAGGAGGCCGGGCTGGGCCAGCCGGGTGCGGGGGCACTCACACGTTAGACAGGAGGTGCAGGAGGAGGTACTCCGCCGCCAAACTGTCTCCTAGCAACACATGCGTGAGGAAGCCGACGAGCTCCGCTCTGATGGATGCCAGCTCGCCCAGGAAGCCCGAGGACACTAAGGAAGGAGTAGGGGAGGCGTGGTGAATCACAGTAGTGACTCTGCACCTTCACCTGATCATCAGGCATGGAGGTTAATGGACTGTGGTGGAAGACACATAGATGCACTGACCCTCCGAGGCAGCAGGGGGCAGTAGTGGGTTATTATGCTGCAGTCTGTAGGCATGCAGCATGTGAACTCGGGGAACCAAGGAGGCAGGTGGACTGTGGGCTCTCTGCTCTTCCAGGCTCTCCATTGGATCCACAAAATGTCCTTCTCTGAACATGGGACAATGACATCACTGCATGGACTCCACACGACAGCAATGACAGGAATCGCATGTCCTTTCAGAGTAGTTAGAACTCTTTCCACCATATTAACACAGAATACAAAATGTAGATTAATGGCGCTTTTCCACTGGGAAACGGGAACTGAACCGTACCCAAGCCGTACCATGAAGACAGACTAGCTACAGCGCGGTTCCAGCTCACTTTGGTTTTCCACTGCAGAAGGGCCGGCTTGGTCAAGGCGTTGCCGAGTGTGGACGGTGTCATAAAACCGAAGAGATGATTATACACTGTTCACACAGTGTACATCATGATTTACTATGATTTTTTTTGGGTGCGGTAATTTTTGTTAGCACGTCTGAAAATAATCTTATGTTATCGTGAAACGCTAGCAAAATTAGCATTTGCGTGTGTAAATCTGCATTACAAATCCATTCCATTCAGCTGTTCTATAGTACTATAGTAGTTCTATAGTATAGTATAGGTGACTGTAAATTTTCAAGTTCCAATTTATTGGGAATGCATCAATACAGATTAATAATAATGAATAATACATAGAATATATGTTTTTTTTTTCTTTCAGATAATCCACGTGCAGAACACCGCTATGTCCGCCATTTCAATCGAATAGTGGTGATACAGCCGGCTATGTTTGGTCATCATTTCAGCCCTACTAGTAAGCGCGGGTGCAGCTTGGGTACCGGCATTATTTACAATGGAAAACTGCCAGTTTGTGATACGGCTCAGTTCTCGGTGGCAGTGGAAAAGCGCCATACTGTTGCTGTAGTTAAAAAAAAAATTAAAAAAAAAAAATCAACAAGACAAGAAAAACAAGCCCCATTAATGGCCGGGGAAAACTTGAAGACCATCTCACCGTTCCTCAGCGATGACGCTCAGCAGAGGGTCCACCGACAAGATCCCGTACACCTCCAACACGTCGTTCACTTTGAACTTCTCCCACTCCTCGTAGACCTATGAACGAGATTCCACGGGACTGCAGAGGCTGGCGGGAGCTCCAGGCCCCAGCCAGCCCCAGCCAGCCCCAGCCAGCCCCAGGGGATGGCGTACCTTCACCAGGCAGGCAGGCCCCGTCTCCCCGGGCAGGGGGAAGTTCAGCTCCAGGGGGTGGGGACATCCGGAGGCGGCAGTGTGCCCACTCTGGGATCCTGTCTCTAGCCGTTTGGTGTCTCCGTGGCCAAAGGCCTCTGTGGCAGCGTGATCCCCTGGTAAACAGAGGTCGTCTCCCTGAGCCTGGGGTCAACACACTTCTCCGTGAGCAAAGACGGCCACCATGGGCTCACAGCACCTGCACATACCCGTCAGCTGCTCCTTCTGCTTGTGCGGCTGCGTCTCCATCTCGTCGTCCTCCTCATGGCTCCGCTTGTGCCGCTGCGGCACGTACGAGGTGGAGGGAAGTACGCGTGCCTGGTTACAGCAGGCGAACCCGTGCCATGGTGTCAAGGAGAGGAACGTCCGGAGGAACGAGACAGGGGACCCAACCACACCAGGAGCAGGTCAACTCACAACCACCAAGCAAGCTGACACACCTTCTGACAATCGGCCACCTCTCTGAATCAGGTGAACAACCCCCCCCCCCCAAAGGATATGTCTTTCACCCACTGTGACTCCCCAGGAATCGGCATACAGTAAAAGCTCTGCCTCTCCATGGTCACCACATGTTTGGAGTTCAAGTCCACCTGAAACGGCAGTGATCAGAGCCCTTATGGTGGAATGACAGGCTTCATCCCTCCTGATACGGCACAAAAGATGCAGGTTTATCAATTTTGTCATGACAGTAACAGTCCAACCGACCAAAACCTCCAAATTGGTCCAATTCCAAAATCAAGCTGAAACTGATGTGCGACATTTATAATCTGTGTTCTAGTGCGCAGCCGATGATAAGTGCTGAACAGACATGTCTCCGGTTGTGTATGAGGCTTTGAGGATTCCAGCGTGGACATGCTACTGGGTTGGGATGCTCAGAAAGGTACAGAGGCGTGATCTGAGGTACGGGACATGCAGCTCACAGCTGCCATCTGCTGGCCAGGAGAGCAGGGTGTCCTGCATGTTCATCCTACACAGCACGTTAAAACCAGCCCATGGGTTCCTCAGTGAAACTTTTTATACAAGCTTTCTGTAGTCATGGAAATAAACCCCAAACCATTTTAGGGTTCTGTGAAAGAGCATGGCTCAGTACACTGAGAGTGAACATCAGACAGACAGGACAGACCTACTTACCTCACAGTCAGTCATGTCCTTGTACTTTCCAAGCTTTAAGACCTGCAAAGTGTCACATCTTAACGTCAGACTCTCAGCTTCACCCTTAGTTACTGTTACCATGGAGACATGAGCCCATTCCCCTTTGTGGATGCGCAATATCACCCAACATTCCCACAAACTGGAGTTACATGGGAATGTTACTATCACTGTGGCGATTGGTGAGGCTTTTCCTGGCACACAGACAGTTCACCAGAAGTCAGATCCCCTCTGGCCAAGTTAGGCTGTGATACTTAAAACGGTCCTACCTGATAGTAAGCCAAGATGTCTGTAATGAAATGGCACAGTGGAGAGTGACAAAGCCTGGATGCAAAGCACAAGCCACGGCCCTTACCTTGGATTCAGGGGAGGGGCCAGCCGTTTCATACACCCCCACGTAAAATTCCGGATCAAACATGTCCTGCACCATGCAGCGGAACTTCACCAAGCTGCTGGTCTTCAGGTAGTGCAGAGGAACATCGTTCAGCGAGGGAACCTGTGCAAAGATACGACTGTCAGCTCAGCCACACATTTCTTTATTACACTAGAACAGGAAGAGATGCTCAGTCTCTTACAGACCATGCCTGAGACCTAAGCCAAAGGAATGATGGAACAGTGAACTGACCTCATGTGACAAGGGGACCACAGGAAGGCATCTTACAGACACAGTAAGCACGGTGTCAGCTGCGGCACGGGGATAAACTACATACCCAGCTCGCTGCTTCTTGGTCCTTTAGTTTCTCTCTGAAAAAATCCAGAACCTTCTGCTCCCAGTCTGGACTGGAATTGTACTGGGCTGCAGAATATAAATACTCAATCAGAAAGGTGGGGACTGAAGAAAATTTATGTTAATTAAATGCGGAAAAATAAATATAAGCTACAGGAACTGGGTTCCCCTGCAGAAATATGAGCCATCACATGGCTGACTGTAAGGACATAAACAAGCTCAGATTATACAGGATTTTGCACAATGCTTGATTGTACTGTCTGCCAACAGAGCATATTTCGTTTTTCTACTAACATGGTTCGCCGTCAGCCGACACCTGACACACATTAACTACCGTCCGATAGCTCAAACACATTTCCTTATTTCCGTTCAGTGCATATACTGGTCAATTAGGGAAGGGCGGGGTATTTAAAGTCACCGAAAGACAGGAGGATCTGCCCAGACTTGGTCACAGGTGGAAGGGGGACAGTATGTATGCATACACGGGTACGGTGGGTACACATAATTCAAAAACATGGCATTGCTGTCCAGCTAGCTATCGTTACCAAATCGGACAACTAGTCAGGGTAGGGTAGGGTAAACCAAACTGCTAACTTAGCTAATGATTCAACCAGTTCGATAAATATCATCTTACCAAAAATGCCTTCCACGACACCGAGGGGGCTGTTGATCCAGTCGTGAACAGTGGGCATTTTTACGGGTCTGAAGGTTGTACACGTTTGTGTTCCTCTTGCACAGAAAAAGACCCACGCCTCACAACGGCGGGAAAAGCGCGTCACTGCGCGTCACAGTACGGCGACGTGACACGCTACGTAAGCACGTACTTTCGGGTACACACGTCCAGCGTCCCTGTTATTATTGTCATTGTCACTGTCGCTAGCTAAACTGTAGCTCCGGTTCGAACAAGTTATTGTTATTCAAACTGTGTCCAGCACATATAATGCATACGCGTTCCGGATTTCACCATATGTCGGCCCCGTGTGCAACATCAACAGACCATGGATGGTTCCGGTAATTTAAATACTGTATATCTTTGATTCACACTAGTATTATATCTTTTTAAGTATTTTAACAGAAAACACGCGCAAATTATATTCATTCACAGGCAATTCACTACTGATTATACCCATAACTAGCAATTTCGAGTTTTAAAATCCGGTTAATCCAATTAGATATTTTAGCTGTTTGTTCCCAAAGAAACTGAAATGGTAATGACTAAAAGTGCACACATTATCTGGGTTATTTGATTCTAGTGTGATTTCCGCCTTTAAATAATTTGGCACTTTATCATTAACGTTTAATGCACGGGACAATGTTGCAGTCACACCTATGTCCGGCAGGTGGCAGGAGTGCACAACCCAGATTTAAATGACTACAGGATTAGTTATTACATTAACTTTTCAAGTAGTAGGCTACTTTACATTTTAATTAGCGCAAATATTATTTATGTAATAACAACAACGGCTTTATTGCTTGTCTTATACAATTACTGAATTTGTGTTTTGCATTCGGTCATTTTCATTAATCTTTTTGTTTAAACATGAACACAAAGAATGGAAATAAATTGCATTTTAGAACCGTTATGTTATTCACAACAGGTTCAACCAATTTGAAAAAGTATCCTCTTTAGAGATCCCCGTTTCAGATAACTCACAGCTAATGCATAGCAGGAGAAACGCGCGTCCTTGCTCCGGGACCCCTTTCAAACTGCTTGCTGGTTATTGGTCAGCGGCAGTGAGGCTCTTTCTTGACACACTGGAGGTTTGCGATGATGTCATGCCGCCGGGGGGGGGGACTCGGCGAGGTCGGACTCGAAGAGCATATCCAGCTGGGGCTGTGCTGCGATATGACCGACAAAGTGTCTTATCTGCGGTTGCACTTAAAAGGTACTGAAACGCTCCTCGTTTGGATTTCCAGTGCCAGGATTTCATTTAATGGTTTTTGAACCACAGCAGCTCGGATTGCACGCCTGACAGAGGAATGAATGTCTGCAGGACGCATCGCAAACCGGGCTCTTGCACTCAGCTGTCCAGATGAAACCCCCGCTGAAGATCGAGTCCGGGAGCCTGATGGATCAGGGAGACCTGGAATAGTCCGACCGCTCCTCGACAAGGTCCCGCAGCACGATGCCTCCGCAGGGCGTCGGGGGGTATAAGCCGGTGGCGACGTCCGACGTCCCCCCGGTCCCCCCCCGGCGGCTCCGTAACGGGGACGAGCGCAGAATAAAGTGCGTCCTGGTGGGAGACGGAGCTGTGGGCAAGACCAGCCTGATAGTCAGCTATACCACCAACGGGTACCCGACGGAGTACGTGCCGACCGCCTTCGATAACTTCGCAGGTACCGGCGGCTGCTCGCACAAACTTTAACTCATACAAATATATAAAATCATAAACAGAAGGCTGTAATGGTGTAAAGGACAAAATTAGTTTAGTTTTTTTATGCCAGTGATCTAAATTAATCTTTTAAATCTGGCAACTCTTTGCATAAATTCCTTAACAGAATATAGCCTGGTACTTATGTGATACTACTTATAGTTTGCTATAATAATACTATACTAATACCTAATATATTTAATCATATTGTGATGTTACATGTAGCGTGTAACAATAGCCTATACTGTACAATAGACCTAATGCTTGTTGTAATATTTATTTTATCATCATTCTGCATTCAGAGCGTTAATTTAACATTTATGCGATATTTAATGGATTGTGATCGCAGGCGGAATTACCGGGTTTCAGACACATTGCTGCCCAAACAACCCCTGCCGGGCCAGTCTAACTGATTATGTCTCTTTTTTTCTCCAGCGGTGGTGGCGGTGGACGGAAAGCCTGTGAGGCTGCAGCTATGCGACACCGCTGGCCAGGTGGGTTTAACAGCAAATGTACTTCTATCTTCTACTTCTAAATATACGACAAGTGGTTCAGCCCGGTCGCGTGCTAGAGTAAAGATGACGTTACCGCGATACATAATGAAATACTGTAACCGGAGTTCCTGTCAATTAAGTTACAATCGGGCAAATGGTGATGAATTGGTTCTAGTCCCGGAAAAAAAAGGAGATATAGAACAGTGGAGCAGCTGTTGTTAGTCAGAGGAAACGCAAGATGAGTGCTTTTGGAAGAGTGGGCTGGAAAGCAGAAGCCGACAGCCATTTGGAACAGAGCTGTCTAGACACAGGAAGGAGCCCGGCTCAGCCTGCCTGGGAAGGGGCTGGAGCTGAGCCGCTAAACATCAGCCAAGGGGTCAGGAAGACAATGCAGACACTTCATTAACATTTTATTAAAATGGGTTTTCATAGGTGCTGGGCAGAGCAGGATTGGTGTCAGTTAGGGTTCGGTGCTTGTCGGTCACATCTGGAAACATATGGTCACCTTTGGCGTTTTCCCGGGTGGGAATTCGTCACCGTATGGTTAAAACATCACTGCGGAAAGGGGGCCACAGCGATGTTAGAAAGGACATTCTTGCCGTTTATGAGCGCTGTAGGAGTCGCCACCAAAACTAGAGAAACAGATGGTGTGTTTCCCAGCATCAAACCTGACAGAGAAGAAAGCAACTGGGGATGTGTCTCCATCGCCGGGAAATCGCAGTGATTATGTTCTCGCAGGTGGAGTGCCGCCCTCCTCCCCACCGCTGGCGTGGGAGGGGCCGCTCTGCTGGATTCCGCTTGTTAATCCGGCCTAAATGTAGGTTAACGGTCCCTCACTGACAGCACTGAGCTAAATTGCTCAGTAACAGCTCTAATTGACGAGCCAGCATTCCAGAAATGATTTCCCACTCCTCTTGGGGGGAGGTTCTCAAGTAACGCTTACTTCAGGAAGAGATAGAGTGGAAGGGAGGAAAGAGAGAAAGAAAAAGAAAAGGGTGGGGGAGACCCAGAATCCTCGGACTGTAAACAGCGCCCCCTTATGACGGAGGCGCACAGTTATTTAGAGATTTTCTGTAACGGCTACAGTTGGCGATGCGTGAGAGATACAGGCCAAATGTCGCAGCACTCGCCAGATGATTAAAAGAGGATTAGAGGCACATTACAGCAGATAAGGGCCCCTCTTGGCGTCAGACCCGCGCTGCTGGGCCCTTATCAGGGTAATCCTGTGCAGAACAAACACTTGCACTGGTTTACTGCCTCCGCCACGTCCCTGTGAAGACGGGGCATTCCGGCATCTCTGCCCCGCACCTCCCCATAACAACAGCAGCCTTTTATCGCATGAACGTAAACACACGTAGCTCCGACTGCTGCCCCAGAATCATGTCATTGCTGATGTAAGCTGGTCATTCCATGATAATATACATAACCCATTTCACCAAGTCATGTGATCGGAGGGAATGTAAGATTTCAGATTTTTCTGCTGTCACTTGTCTTGTCCTGTAAGTCTCAGTAGCCCTACTGGCCGTTTTAAGAATCTAGGGGCCTGTTTCACGAAGCAGGATTTCTTGCTTAGCTGGATAATTTAAGGTAGTGTGGGCTATATGGACTTTATCTTCGTTCACTTAAATTTAGTCTATAGTAGGCAGCCTGCCTCCTCATTGTTAACTACGTTGAAGGGATTTTCATGATGCATCCTATTACTGTGTCAGCGATGAAGACATGCTAACCAGCAGAGGTGGAAAGTTTAGGTTCTGAAAGTACAAATCCAGAGTTAAAGAGTGACAGTCACAGAGTACAGCTGGTTGAATTTACAGTTTGTGGCCCTGAACTTTCCACCCTTGCTGACCGGTCGCCTCACTAAGTGCCTCGCCTGTGGGCGTCTAACCGTCCCAATGTGTCGTCCCCGAACGCAGGACGAGTTTGACAAGCTCCGCCCCCTGTGCTACACCAACGCCGACGTCTTCCTGCTGTGCTTCAGCGTGGTGAACCCCGCCTCCTTCCAGAACGTGACGGAGAAGTGGGTGCCTGAGGTGCGGCGGCATTGCCCACGCACGCCGCTACTGCTGGTCGGCACACAGGCGGACCTGCGGCAGGACGTCAAGGTGCTGATCGAGCTGGCCCGGTCCAGGGAGCAGCCCGTGGACCCACGTGAGGCCCGCGTCTGCGCCCAGGACGCCAGGGCCGTGGCCTATATGGAGTGCTCGGCGCTGACCCAAAAGAACCTCAAAGAGGTGTTCGACACAGCCATCATGGTCGGAATCCAGCATGCCGACAGCCAACTTCAGCAGCGGCTGAGGAAGAGGACTCCAGATAAGATGAAGATGCTCTCAAAGTCCTGGTGGAAAAAGTACTGCTGTTTGGCATAGACTCTGGGGGGCAGGCGGCAGGGGAATATAAGGGGGAGGGCTTGGGCACGCTTTCTGTGCAGACCTGTAGGGGGCAGTAGCACAGAGACCAAACAAACTGCTCTTCGGTAATGTGGGATTGGGGGGTGGGACTGCTAACAATCTATCGCACCCCAGCCGACACTAACACAACAGTTTGTCACCTTACCTGCTACATCATAGCTGTGACATCGAGGCCTGGCATTCGCTTTGCTTAAGACCTGAGTGCTGTGTTGTGGACACACTTTTTTAGGCATCGCTCATCTGCTTTGAGTAAAGTCATGCACGGTGGTGGGAGGTTCTATCTAGTATAAAGTGACTTTTTTGTGGCGTTTATAGGCAAAGCTGATAACTTGCCATGGATCCCGGCCTACTGCACATACATGTCATTTCACGTTTGGCTTCCAGGGGCTCTTTCTGCCCCCCCCCCAGCCACCCCATGAGCGTTCTCCTGTTGGTGATGTGGAATCTCATGTTTTCCGCTGAGATGGGATTTGTGGCGCTTGGTGCATTTCGGATCTTCTGGAATCACACATCTGTTGGCCCAGAGCTCAAGCTCAAAGAAGGTGCCTGAGTGAATTTCGATTCAATTCTTTTTTTTTTGTAAGCATTAGATCCTCCTCTGCAGGGAGGCAACCCACAAGGACGTCATGATTAGCCAGGACTGGACCTCAGGATCAGCAGGTTACTCAGACCTCACACCCATTTTGCATTTCTGTTGTTGATCTTGTTTTATTCTGCACCTTCAAGGTACAAATTCAAAATTTTTGGCGTAAAACAGTAGAACAAATCTCTGCATGTTGCTTTTCATGTTTCACTCCCCAAACCATAAAACGTAGAATCTATCAGTTGCTTTTTACCTTTTAAAAGCACTCTGTGTTTTGTCATATTTAAAATTTATTCTGGTCGTTGCATAAAGAAAACAAATAATCGCTTCAACATTTCATAAAATTAGTATGAACTTGTATGCAGTGTTGATTTTTGCTGGTTTGTAATCATTCCGGCATTTAAATGCTGATCCTAGTGTGATTTTCTTAAGCTTTCACACTATGAATTAGCAGCTCTGTTTTAGCTGATGAAAAGGCCTTGAATTTAAACGCCAGTTCTACCCATTACTTTGCCAATAACCATTAATGTCCAGAGGGGTTTTTTAAGGCTGGGTAGTTTTTATAACCTGTGATTGGCTGAATGTTGGCGTAATTGTCACTTGCCTATTCACCCTGGGGCCTCGTTTTGTGGTCTACTTGTGGTCCTTGTAATAGGTGGTAACCTGAACTGTGATTGGGGGGACAGTCTGTGAAAGTTGTGAAACCGGTGACTGCAAATCTATCCAGAGGTGTTTCGATGACCACAGAGAACTGCCTATACGACTGTTCTTTTCATTTCTCTTTTGACCTTGGCATGTCACAGGCTCTTGAGTTCTCTCCAAGTTTGGGAAGATGCACATTCCGGAATTTGAGCCAGGATTCCGGATTGAGTTCTATCTTTCTTTGTATCCGTGTGCTGTAAATCATATACTCCGCCCCATCAAATGGGACACTTTATTTGTAAAGATACTGTAAACATGGGCTTTGCCGCTGTGACCTCTGACCCTTTCTGTAGCCTGTCAGTCACATGGGTGTGGGGTCAAAATTGCGGAGTGCTGTTGTGTCCGGTGCTGTCCTCTGAATCTCTCTTCACACCCGGGCCGTTTAGAAGCTTTACTCGTCAGATAAAACACCATTCATCATGTCCTGCTGTCCCTTCAGCTCTGGATCTCCATGCAGGATGCGCTCAACTGACACCGATGGGTCTTTGAAAGTGACGTAAAGCTTGCAGGTGGTAAGTTTCTTTTCAGATGGGGGGGGGGGGTGGAGGGAGAGACTGGCCTTAGACTGGTGTGTGATTCAGGGGGATATCTGAACTGGCTCTTTTCGATAGTGGGTGGAATCGGGGCGTCTTCCCAAAGCGAGTATTACCTACACACTGGGACTGTGTTAAGTACCAACATCCCTGCACTGTACTGTATCACAGAGTGAGCTCACCGCTCTGGTCTGTATCTATCTCTATGAGCTTCCTTTCTATGTCAAACCAGAACAAAGGGCTGTATTTTGTTACCTATTTCAGAATAAACAATTTTTTGTTATATTTCGGAGTGTTAAGAAAAAAAAAAACACTTCTACCGTATGCGTTTCATTATTCTGATGTTACAAAGCAGGAAAAAGAGTTTTCTTGATTATATTCACACATATATTTTAGGTATGACTTCCTCACAGCAGGTTACCTCCTGAACACAGTGAATACTCTGTCACATTTCTGAGCAGCTTCTCGGCTATGGTGAGTGGATCGTCTCCCTGGTGCTGGAGAAGCCGCGTGGCACTGCATCGGACCCGAAAAGCCCAAGCCGTGCACTGTGCTGCCTGCCTGCCTCACTGCCCGGGGAGTTGCAAGGGAGGACACAAATAAACCAGTTTGGGTTGCTCCTGTCAACTGGACCTTTTCTTAGGGAGGAAAGATCAAAGTCCTTAGAGGCGGTGCCTAATGTCTCTCCACATCATGTTGTGAAAAATGAGCTTCAGAATTTGAATCTCAAACTCAGCATGGCAGAAGCGGTGCCGGGGGTATATGATGGTCACATAAGGGGGCTTGACTTCCAAAAGGGACACTTTGGATTCGTGCCCTCCGTCCCTGCTTGGAAAAAATATGATGTTTGCGCATCTGTTTTAAGCATCATCCCAGATTATGTATTTTTTATAAGACCTGGATGCATCCTGGCAAGTCCCAGTTTTTTGGGAGCACCCTGTGTGTGTGTGTGTGTGTGTGAGAGAGAGAGAGACAATCACTGCCGGGAGTGCGGTTCTGGCAGGGTGGCAGGCCTGAATCCTCCCCCAGGATCGCCCCAATTCTGTCTCCCCTGTGGCGCTTGTTCTAATGCTCTTTAACGAGCCTTCATGGCCCATTTATTGAGCCGTTGCATCCCGAAGTAGCCTAGGACAGAACTTCCCACTGTCATGGATGTAGTGCTAAGTTTGGCTCACGCTAAGCCCCAAACAGCAAATACACGCCGGCATGTGTTTCTGGCCCACAGACCTGCCCCCCACAGTAACGTCGAGAGCCACCGGAGAAGCCCGGGAACAGGTTCTGTGTGCACTTCCTAATCGATCCCAAATGCCGAGACTCAGAGAGCCTTTTTATCACATCTGTCTGCCTGCTGGAGTTAGCGAAGGACCTTGTGCATCTGTCTGTAAATCATTCTGGGAGGCTCATGTCCCATCCCGTTCCCGCCTCATGCCCCATCCCTTTCCCGCCTCGTGCCCCATCCCGTTCCTGCATCATGCCCCATCCCGTTCCTCCCTCATGCCCCATCCCGTTCCTGCCTCATGCCCCATCCCGTTCCTCCC